CAGTCTATTAGTTGGCACCTTGTCAAAAGACTTACTGAAATCTATTTAGTAAACATCCACTGAGTTTCTGTTGTCTAGCGCATTAATCCAGAACTCCCTTGCTATAAGGAGGTTTGTTGTACAAGATAGACCTTTTCTAAAACCATGTTGTGCCATGTTCACCAAGTTATTGGTTTCCATAAATGCCATTATGGTCCGTTTGACTGTTATTTGCATTACTTTAACCACACTGGTGAGACTTACAGGTCTGTAATTCGATGGAACTTGTCGCGGACCTGTTTTGTGTATGGGAGTGACGACCGCGTCCTTCCGGTCCATAGGTAGCACTCCCTGATCAGGTGTCATGTTGAATATCAGTCAGTGGGGCCGCGATGTGTTGTGCGATGTCACAAGATTTTGGGATGTAGTTCATCTGGTCCTGTTGACTTTTCCATGTTTAAAGTGCTAAGAGCCTTAAGCACATAGTCTTGATCGAAGTCCACGGTGAGCAGATGGTTTGTTGACTCTATATTTGGGTCTGATTCTTTCTCTAGAGGAGGTTCCCGAGTGAAAACTGTCCCAAAATAGTCAGACATAGCCTCTGCGTTTTCCTGATCTTCCTCTATCATTTCAGATTCACTTCCTTCTTTAATTAGATTGGGAATCCAATGATGCATCCTTGTTCTGTATTTTATGTACGAGAATATTTTATTGGGCTGCTTGAGTGCAAATAGGTCAAGTTTCCTCTCAAAGGACTCCTTGGAATTCGCTTGGACTAGCTCAGCCAGCAGCGACTTCCAGCATTTGACAACTTTCAAGGAATAGAAGGTGTGTCTGCATTCCGTTTTGCTGTATTTTGTCTCCGATGACTGAGTGTTACGCCTTAGGTTTGTGTTGGAGCTAAACTTAAATTAATGTTTAAGGGGATGTCCAGAAGTGTTAAGGATACTGCGAGCCATTAGACCGTCAATTCTGAGCTGCCTGTACTCTAATCGGTAAATGTTTAGTTATTTGAAGCGCTCTTCATAAGGTTTGAATTCGAGTCCTCTAACTGATTTCTTGGCTCACCGTTGGATATGCTCCAGAGTGCCCATATCCTTTTGGAGTGAAGAAGAAAATACTATGTCTCCGTACTCTAAATGGGGACAAATAAAACTGTTGAAGATTATGTGAAACGTTCTTTCGTCAAATTGGCTAAAAATGCGCTTCAATGTTATCAGTGCAAGGTATGCTCGAACGGCACTTTTGCGACAGTTAGCGTAAGACTTCAAATCGAAAGGTACCAGGACTCCTAAATCGTTTTCAACTTGGGATGCTTCTAGAGAGGAGTTTCCTAAGTTATAACTTTAGTCTGCAACATGTCTCAGATGGAATACTTTACAAGTGTTAAAGGTATGTCACTTTTGATATGCCCAACTTTGAGGTCCAGTCAGCTCTTCTCATGTGCCAGTATATCCTCTTGGTTGCGTACCACTCTCCAAAGTTTCACATCATCAGCAAAAAGTAACAAGTAAGACAATACTTATTGTGGAAGACCGTTTGCATAGATCAAGAAAAGAAGAGGTCCTAGTACTGGTCCCTAGAGGACCTCACTTGTACATCCCATAGCCTGAGAGAGAGTGAAGTTAACCCTGACCTTAAAATGTCGATTTTTTAGACATGAAGTGAGCCAATCAATTACAGGTGGTCTGATACCCAATCGCCTGAGCTTGTTGATAAGACATATGTGGTTGACCCTATCAAAAGCTTTTAAGAAGTCAAAATAAATGACGTCACTCTTAGGCTTGCGATCAAGGATGGTTGTCCATCTGTCCACCGCAGTCAGCAGGTTGGTTATACAAGAATGACACTTGCCGAAACCATACTCTTGGGGTGAAAATAAGTTTAAGGATGATAAATAGTCATGTATGCCGTCGCATATCACGGACTCCACCGATCAGTAGCTCAAGGTTCGCTGCGTCAACCTCCTTTGAAAATTAGTGTGATGTGAGCCAACTTCCAAATTTCAGGTAGTTTGCGAGTGAGGTATCGATTACAACAAAAAATGGTTTGTTAGTGTAATATATTTGAAGTTGCAATATCTTTGGAGGCAAAACAACCAAAGGTATCCCAAAAAAGATTTTTGCTGACAAACTACCCCAGCAAATGTCCGTCAAGCGTCAGATTTCATGTCAATTTCGCGTGCATTCATGCACATCATGGGAGGAGGCACGCAAATGATAGATGTAGTATAAGTAGTTCTGTAATGACGTTTACACATGATTCAGTGAATGCGGGAGGAATATATCACATTCTAGGTTGTCTTGCTGACAACTTTGATGTGATTCATAACTCCATTTGAAATAGGGATAATTGCTGTACCGTCATTTAAGACCTCACTGTACCATACATCAGGTGGTTGGAGTCTGCAACTCCGAGTTTGTGATTTGATAGCAATCTACGTTATGCGCTTTGTCACAAAACCGACACATTTTGACCTAGAACATAAGCTAATTTCATTGAACTGTGAATGTTACTTAAAAATATGGATGATGCTCTATCATGAAAAGAAAGTCCTTTGGAACTTTTTCATTGATAAGTGCACTCTCACTGTAAGATCCATTTTGAAGGTTTTATGTGTTGGTGAAAATCCCTCCATGTATATACTTGTACTTTATTCCTATTGATCGCATTAGTTGTACATTGTTGTATTTTGATTACATTTGAATTGTTAATATTTGTATTTTTGTTATAGTTTTTGTTTTTATTACGCATTCACTAAGTTTGTGTTTCTTCCTGAACTGCATCTGCGTTGTTTTACTTGACACTTGTTCTTGGCGGTAGCCATATTGATTTGTTCCTCCTGTTGTGTGTGATCTATCCAGCCAGGATAGAATAACGTTGATTTGTTGTGATTGATTTAATTGATTGAACAATCATTGGTTGAATAGCCGGGTGATAATATTTGTTTAGAACCGCTAGTTACCCGATTACTTGTTCTGATTTCGACGGGAAAGGGCGCGTGTCTAAAACCCCCTGTCGGCTATTCTTCAACATCCAAACCGTAGTTTGGATCCTATAGTTCTAAACAAATATTACTTGGCCGAAATCCTTTGGTAATCGTTCACGGATTTTCTGGAAATAATTGGTCGTGTCGCTTATAATGCCAGTTAATCATCGAAGGAGATCAGGCTCAAAGTTCGTCGATGTTAAAGAAGAATCCTCTATTGTCAAGCAAGTGCCTTTTGACGTCCCTATGGGTCATGGTTCAGACTTAAATAGGGTTAATTATCATGGCAGTGATTCTAGCCTTAATTCGATGTCAGTTGATGTAAAAAATCTTAGTTTAAGGGAGGAGCAAAGGCCTGAATTACTAGGAAAGAGCATGTCGCATATAGTCCATGTTGTTCGCCCAGAGCTACCAAAGGTTGAACTGAGTTATTTCGATGGAGAGCCAAGAGGTTATTGGAAATTTATAAGGCAATTTGAGACGTATGTAGCGTCAAGAGTCACGGATGATAGCCAGCGCTTACTCTATTTGATACACTACTGTAAGGGCAAGGCTAAAACAGCTATTGAAGGTTGCGTCATGATGGAGGCATCCTCTGGCTATAAAAGAGCAAGGGAGATTTTAAAACGTTTTTTCGGACAGCCTCACGTAATTGCTCGAGAAACACTAGAGGACTTATTCAGTGCTGTGAATTTTGAGTATATTGACGGGGACCAACTATCAAATTTGGCTATTAAGATGGGAGACTGTGCCATGGTCTTGGAACAAATGAATTATACTTCTGATCTAAATTCCTTAGTTACCTTGGAAAGAATAGTGAGACTCTTGCCTCAACCTATGCAAGCCCAGTGGGCGGACTGGGTGGATAAATTGACTGAAGATAACAGAGAACCGACCTTCGACGAGCTCACTCAGTTTATCGCATCGCGTGCGAGAGTGGCTTGTAGTAGATTTGGACGGTTAGCAAACCGTTCTAGAAAAGGACATAACGTAAAGACGAACTGTCACGTGCAATCAGAGCAAGGGAATAGTTCGACAATGAAAACTAAATGTAGTATGTGTTCCTACGACCATGCCATTGATAAATGTCCACAGTTCTTAGCGCTTACAGTTCAAGACCGATGGTCTCACGCTAAAAGCAAGGGTATCTGTTTCGTCTGTCTTAGACAAGGACATAAGGTTAATGAATGTAAGATGACAAGGCTCTGTAAGGTTGACAGTTGCGAGAGGAGACATCACGCTCTGCTGCACACTGACTCGACAAGCAACGTCGTAAATGATAAGACATCATGCCCGGAATATAGGAAAAGAGTTGTTAATCATACCAGTAAGATACAGACATTAGAGAACGAAATACGTAAGCCTTATGACGTAGAGTTTTCAGATGCTTATTCAACTGATAAATCATTATCAGTAGACGACAAGGTGGCTATAAAGATTGTGGAAGGTGGCACGCGCTTCGGCAACGGTCATTTTGTAGTTTCTATACCTTGGAAAAAGAATCCAGATATGAAAGTGGATAACTATGAAGTAGCAAACCGTAGATTACAAGGTTTGAAGGGTATGTTGTCGAAGGATGTCAGTCTGCACATCAAGTATATCAAAAGTACTGAAAGTGATTTTACTAAGACTTATGCGGAGAGGGTCTTTGAAATATATCTACAGTCTTATTATCGCCCTCGATGGTATTTACCTCATCATGCAGTATTAAACATGAAAAAACCAGAAGAACTTAGAGTGGTCCTTGATTGTGCCGCCCAGTTTGCAAGGGGTTCCCCAAATGATATGATTTATCAAGATCCCGATACCACCGCTGAGTTAATGTGTATATTATTAAGTTTTCGCAAGGAGGCAGTTGCAATCCCTGCAGATGTTGAAGAAATGTTCATGCAAGTGAATGTCCCTAAATCTGATCGAGGAGCTTCAAGATTTCTGTGGTGGCAGGAGGGGGACATATCGAGAGAACCGTCTAAGTTTCAAATGACATCCCATCCATTTGATGCCACATCCTCGCCATTTTGCGCGAACCTTGCCCTGAATAAGACGGCCCAAATATTCTCTAACGGTTATGATGGTTATGTTGTAGATGATGTCAAGAATAATTTCTATGTTGATGATTGCTTGATATCCATTCCCACTTGTGATCAAGCAAAGAGTTTCGTTAAGCATATAAGTGAATTATTATGTAGAGGAAGTATACAAAAAATGACCGATCTTGAATCTTGGTTCAAATGTCCTATTTTATTGCATGGCGAATTTTATATAACAATCACTGACTGTACGGAACCTACTCTTGACGATATTGAGTTTAGAAAAACTGCTGTGGTTAACTTGAGTAGTATAAAGTACAACAAGACACCTGTTCTCTCTTATTATTCCGAGTGGTTGAAATTAGTCAGGGCCGTAGCCTGGCTTAGAAGGTTCATAGAATTTCTGATGGTGCTTCGTTCACCGAGTCATGAAGGATCCGTTCATCTAGGGTGTTTAAAGGTCAAAGAGCTTGAGATTGCCAAGCGTAAGATTTTATTGATGGTTCAGAGAGAAGTGTATGGAGAATTACTTAGTGAATTTAAGAACAGCAGTAAAGTAGTAAGCCATGATAACCTGAATGGTTTATCGTTGATGATGCTTGATGGGTTACTCTGCGTTGGAGGTCGACTAAGATACTCAGATTTCCCAAATGCTTTTAAACATCCAGTAATTTTACCCAGTCGACACTTAGTGACGGAAATGATAGTTAGACATTGTCATAAAGAACAAGGACACATAGGAAGATCATTAGAAAAAGGGTATGGATATGTGTTTACTTGTTTGCAAACATGGGCAGTACATATTGAAATGATGTGTAATTTGATTACTGATTCATTTTTAATGGCTCTATTACGTTTTATTGGAAGAAGAAGGAAACCTCCAGAGATTTACAGTGTCAGTGCGTCAAGTTTCGTGGGGACAGTTTCTGAGTTAAGCAAGTTTGTGCAGCAGTCGAATCAGAAGATAAACATTGAATTGTCAGCGAGGCCCTCATCCAACAGCATGGGTGGAGTTTGGGGAAGAGTTATTAGGCCTATATCACGACTGTTATTGTTGATCACCAGAGAACAGGTGAAGCAGGTCTCCTTGAAGCTTTGGATTAGTCTTTGTTGTTATTAATGTAGTTAGGTCGAGTAGGCGTACTGTTGTAAGTCCTACTTGTTCCTATGGTGTGATATGTTATATAATGAACCATGACCGTAGGCGTCACGGTAGCTTGTGTGGTATGGAGGGATTTTGGGGGCCGGTGTAAGATCCATTTTGAAGGTTTTATGTGTTGGTGAAAATCCCTCCATGTATATACTTGTACTTTATTCCTATTGATCGCATTAGTTGTACATTGTTGTATTTTGATTACATTTGAATTGTTAATATTTGTATTTTTGTTATAGTTTTTGTTTTTATTACGCATTCACTAAGTTTGTGTTTCTTCCTGAACTGCATCTGCGTTGTTTTACTTGACACTTGTTCTTGGCGGTAGCCATATTGATTTGTTCCTCCTGTTGTGTGTGATCTATCCAGCCAGGATAGAATAACGTTGATTTGTTGTGATTGATTTAATTGATTGAACAATCATTGGTTGAATAGCCGGGTGATAATATTTGTTTAGAACCGCTAGTTACCCGATTACTTGTTCTGATTTCGACGGGAAAGGGCGCGTGTCTAAAACCCCCTGTCGGCTATTCTTCAACATCCAAACCGTAGTTTGGATCCTACACTCATCACACATGAAATTAACTTACAAGAATGACGATGGACACGGTTACCCGTCAATTTTATGTTCGCTTAATTAAAAGAAGTATATGCTTAACTCTAAACCTAACTATCTATCACAAACCGACACACACTAAGGCGAAATGATTTATGTAGAAGTTTGGATGAAGTATCATGTATTGGTACCGTGGTTTCCCGATACCACCATGGTATGACAGAAAGGCTTCGAAAGATCTAAAGGCAATACAGACTCGAAGGAGGCTTCTGAAGAACTAACACCTTTCGAGATGCTTGAGTTCATGTGAAGCATGAGATTATCTTTATACCAACAAATAATTGTATCTATCGATAATAAGGTTTTTAATTGTGATGCGTTATATTTTCGATAAATCCTGAGTTGAGCCAAAAAACGTCTGACATGAACAAAAAGTCACCTAATAATCCGGAAGAAGTTAAAAGACTCCGAATAGCATGCCCTTTTCAAAAACCATCCATTCTATATTAAAAATACCGTGAAAATTCAAGAAAGCTTTTTCAACTGCAAAGAAAGACTGGTAGCTAAAGCTTTCTATATATTGCTAAATCCTACTGCCCCCCCCAATAAGATGAAGGCCTTACTACTCACCGAACTTGGACCATCTATCTGAGCTATCACGTCTGGTTCTATTCACATTTCACATCATTATCACACATAGAAACTCATCACTATCATCTCACATTACATGTGTCCTAAATTCCTATGAGTCGTCCAATGTTTTGTTTTCTTACTCCGAAAAATTTACAATCCTCAACTCTTGCATATCCTTTGATTTGCTATATATCCTTGCCATCTATAAACCACATATAATTTGATATGTGTTTTCTAATTTTTACCATTAGTTATCTTCATAGCGGTGTGATATACTTAATGGATATCTAACTCAGAATATAGAAGCTTTAACCATCTGATCTGATTTGCTTGTAACATAGAACTAGTAGAGACAGTGTATTCCAGAAAGGGGCTTAGATTAAAGCAATATTCATACACACCACAAACGTAAGAGAGCCTAACATTACAAAAGGAGGGAGGTTGGTGTTACTGACCAGCAAACATGATGGTGGGCAGATAACTGCTATCCACCCATGTCTATAGGGCAGAACATTTTGTTAAATTAATGCTTCTTACGGTCTGGTGGAATTTCATGAACAAATGGTATTGATGCTAAATTATTATACAAACTGCCCCTTAAATCATGTTTGTTTGGTTTCACTTCCTATCGAGTAATCCTAGACAATTTGCTAAATGCGAAGCCTGCTCATGACCCTGTAGTGGCATTGAACAATAACCGCACAATCCACAAAGCTGAACACGAGACTACTCAGAAAATAGATATTCAATATTTAACGCGGATAAATACCTAACGATGGAGAAGGCGCAAAGAATGAATTGAGTGCATTAGGGTTGATCGAACGGCATGGCTCGGCCATGCAGGCGTGGTCCCTGCTGAATGTTGTCTTATTTCTTCTATTCATATTAAATATATTGTTCTTTCTCTAGCCTAACCTTGTTCTACATCATGTATTGGTAATTGGTACGATACAGTGAGTTGGCGTAGTCGATGGTGTGACTTCCACGTAAGATCTTATAGATTAGGCAGTTATATCATGACAAATGTACAAATTTAGGATTAGGTCTATTATTAGAGCAGCACTAATATCATAGTAGACTATAATTCTACATTGGTGAGCCCAACTAAAGAAACGCAGGCTATTATTGCTAATCCTCAGATCCACCTTAACCTTCTCAATCGACTTTCATTTGTGTAAATGCATTATTCTAATAGTCCTCTGATTAATGCTCACAAGCATTATCGTAATGTTATATTGATTAGTACTCATAACATACTAACTCAATCGATACCAATTACCGGTTATCTATATCAATTAGCTTTGATGGTTCATTAATAAGCTTTAGTAGCATTTACATGCTTCTGCGGAATAAACTTGTTTAAACATCTAGCTCTATCTAAAAATAACGTGAATATACATCGACTAACAATGCAATCAAGGACTAAATAGTTATCTGGATCTAATTCTCAGTGTTCCTTCACTTAACACCTCATCCTGTTTTAAACGATGCACTATCCTGTAATATCTTTTCTTCCGACCACTGCCTGCCTAATTTCATATTCTCGAGTTCCATTGCCAAACAACGGGGATGACACTACTGCAAAAACATACGGTGAGTTTCAGCTATAAGTTTTCTGCAATCATAAGCTCATTTTAGATGGTTCGTTCAATGACAACCATACAATTATCTGGATTCATTCGATTGTTCTGATCCGAGCGAGTGTCAAAAACCTCAACAGCATCAAGCACCCTGGAATTAATTGCCATACTACATGTTTTATTCTGGATGCTTTTGGATCAATACTACTCACGAATAGCGTTATATATGTCGTCCACTGAGTAATCTAATTTTCAAAAATAATCAAGGCGAGTTCAACTATTTTACTGGATGATTTTTTTTTACTTAACATGTATATGTTTTCCGGTTCCTTTTGCTATATATTTGTAAGTGTCCCTAGGCTAAATGCAGTAACTTCTTATGGAATGTTTATAACACATCATATTCCTGCCTGAAGTTTCACAAGCAGTCTAAACTTTAAAATTATTTTCTGGTCATGTTCATTATTTTTAAATCGTCATATACGTCAACAACCTGCATGTTAACCTGGCTCATACATACGTTACACTATATCTCCATTTCTTCTAAATTTAGAAATCATCTGGATCGCCTTTAACATTTATCAATAAACCCATCATAGTCGTTGTTGCTAATCGTATTTGGGTTTATTGCTTGGTTTATCACATTAGCAGCCTAAAATGCGAACATAGTTTAGATAATAAGATTAAAAATGTAGGTACTATCAACTGCACTAGTAAAATAACTAAATCCTCAGGTAGCTGTTGGCTAAACAAACGTTTAAAATCAAAACTCCGTAGTCTACTAAAATTAACACTAGACGAATATTTCTGAATTGAAATATAATTAAATTAGGCGTCTCGGATTCTTTAACGTTATAAATTTCTGATAACTTCGAATCACCTAAAGCAAAGCAACAATACCTATTTTTCCACTGACTAATCCTCAATCAACACTATAACTAGTTAAACATAATAGTTTCAGGATATCGTCATAAAGCATTGTCATGACAATCACGTAATATGATTGATAAAATTAATGAGACTATTAACAAAATCGGTCAGCAAATTGACTTATACTTACCACTAGTGTTGTTTTTCTTTTATCTTCATTCACTACAAATGATTACAGTATGTTTCTCTATCAGTTGCTCATTCAGTAAATATCTCAAAACCTTGTCAGTCTAATTGATGGTTTAGCGACACAATCATGCATGCAAATAATCAATATAAGCAGTCGAGCAAATCTCCTGCAAACTGAAAACATCAATGTCGAATTTACCCCAACACTGACTAAGGTTCAAGCCATTATCATAGACGTGAGTTGGGAGTGTACTCCCCTTGGTTACAACTTGTGTTCTTCCTGATAATCACATGAGCATCACTCACTATTAATCATCTTGTAAAAACTTATTTAGCTAAATACATCTTGCAGCACCACATCACTTCGTAATATGACACAGGCCTAACTGATTTTAATAACTTATAACCACTATATCTCAATTAAATCGTATTCCGCCTTATGATAAACTGCATACTTGCAACTAACTTGTATGCATCACCAGCCGGCAAGTATAAATATAAATAAATAGTCTGCCACAGATCAGGACATTGAGTCTAGAGCATGTCTCTTACGAATACATTCATGTTTAACGATTTGTTGCTAGCTATCTGTCCAAAATTCATATAATCATCACTCACGTATTTAAATTTTGTTTTGATAAACGTTCATGTGTATTAGTAGTATTACTAAATTCTATCACGGTCAAGTAAAAACGAGGTTGAGAAAATCTCCCCGTAACTAAATAAACCGTATCAAACTAACTGGAACACTAGTTGGAATTCTTCTCCATGGTAATACTTTTGTTCTTTCAGTTAGCCTGCTAATACAGATGTAATTGGAATTCACATATGGACGGGTTACCGGCATAATTGTTAATTGGTTTCATAATTTAAACCAAAACTAATACCAATATTAACATTTCTACAATATTCATCACTTTAATATTTCTAAACACAAAATACTTACTACCTATACGTCAAGTTATTAACCAACGGCTATTAACACGCATTGTTTTATTATTATTACTGTAATCTCATTTTTTATAGCTCAAATAATCTTCACCCAAATTGTCATTTTAAGTGTGTTAAGCATGAAGGCAGATTTTTTTAAAAATTATTACATGTATTTCCCGACCAGATGCTGCCGCCTTCTTTTTGATTTATCTTTCAGCTTATCATTACCCGGGGGATTCTTCCTAGTCTTGGTAACCTTCGGCGCATGACGATCCCATTCGATTCGGTATCGAACCAACATCACGTTGATTCTGGTGGGAGAGTAGTGTAGTGGCATTGAACAATAACCGCACAATCCACAAAGCTGAACACGAGACTACTCAGAAAATAGATATTCAATATTTAACGCGGATAAATACCTAACGATGGAGAAGGCGCAAAGAATGAATTGAGTGCATTAGGGTTGATCGAACGGCATGGCTCGGCCATGCAGGCGTGGTCCCTGCTGAATGTTGTCTTATTTCTTCTATTCATATTAAATATATTGTTCTTTCTCTAGCCTAACCTTGTTCTACATCATGTATTGGTAATTGGTACGATACAGTGAGTTGGCGTAGTCGATGGTGTGACTTCCACGTAAGATCTTATAGATTAGGCAGTTATATCATGACAAATCTACAAATTTAGGATTAGGTCTATTATTAGAGCAGCACTAATATCATAGTAGACCATAATTC